TTATGGACGACCCCTAAACATAAACTTACTTAGAGAACTTTTCATATAAGCCACTGGTCGACACTAATCAAGAGGGTAATACGTGAGTTAATTATCCTATTGCCCGCGATAAAACGGTGGGGTCATTTACATTAGCCAATAATACCCACTGAACATGGACAGAATTCCCCATCCTTTTATATAGTTGTACAGATTTAAAAAAATAACCTTGACCTTTTCGACAGGACGGACGACCTTGAGTGACTCAAGCTAGCCCAGCAGGTGATCTCCCCTTAATGGCCTGTCGTGTCTAGCAGGAGCCATTGTTGTTGGCGTCATTTTTCTTTTAGCGTCACACCCGCCTTAGGCGTTGGTGTGCGTGTGGGGGGGGGGGGGGGGAGAGGGGCTTTTAGCGTCATACCAGCCTTGGGCGTTGGTGTGGGGGGGGGGGGGGGGCGGAGAAAGGTGGGGGGGCGTTTCTGTTGCAAATTATAGTTAAACCAGTAACGCCCCTTCCGTAGTAGCCTATTATAGTTTGTGGATCGCTGCTCACAGTTAGTAGAGAGTAGAGTTCCCCCTATAGGATCTGACGATGAAGTAGAGTTAATCTGTTTCTTGACCACATGAAAAGATAGTGGATACAGCACTATTCACGGATCCGAACTCAAGACTTTCGGGTTAGCAGTCGAGTTCTCTACCACCTGGACACGCTGTCCAATTCCTAAATTTGAAGGGGGGGGGTGGTCTCTTATCTACTGGTTTAGTGTAAGTCTGGATTGTGTGATCTATATATTTATAATTAATGTACCCCCAAAGAGTCAGAAAATTCTGGAAGGGAGTTACTCATCTATTATAATGTATGCAAACAGGGGCTTTCATGAAATTAATATTGAATTTAAAAACAAATGTGCTATCAACTTTCTCAAGATTTAGTTTGGAAGAAAGGAAGGGATGGAGTTTTGACGCTTCTACTCGCACTTAAAAATCTAAACATTTTAAGTTCATTAAGGACATGGGCGGGTGTACTTTTCGTCATAAATCCACTAAATCATCGATTTCCCACTTTTACTTCATCTATACAGAAAAACCATCGTTGAATCTAAAAATGACATTGTTATGACCCTAAAAACAGTATTTATTTATAAAAAACCGGGTTCAAAGTAGTGTGTACAGGGTCATTTGTTATTTTTTTGGTAAAAATAGCCATTTTTCGACCTAGAAAAGTACTATTAGGCTTCACGGAAACCTAATGTGTTTCATATCAATGGAAAGGCCGTGACCTCCTTTCTTTATTTGTTCTAAAATTAAAGGACCAATCAAAATACTTATTTTAATGTGATTATTTTTCTACGTCATAAAGTTGTTTATTTTATTCAGTCGGGTTTTTCCGGTATGCAAATTTTTGACCTCAATTTTTTCATTGGCGTTCGACGGCGGAAGCTAGTTAGCGATTGGTCGTTTTGCTTCGTAAGTAAACATTCCCTTAGTTTCAGCGCGTTGCTAAGTTTGATCTAGTTTTGTATCTCTAAGCTTCTGTGAAATACTTACATTATTTTAACTTATAATTATTTCAATTAAATATACTATTAACAGTTTAGATTAGTTTGTGTGAATTATCATAAGCAGTGAGACGATTTAATTTGTTTCTCTTTCGATAATGGGTAGAACAAAACACTCGCTAAAAATAGATACACACAAACATCTAACTAATTTACTAAAGCAAGGGCACGTCCGAATGCAACTGATTGCAGCTACCTCTACTCAATCTAGCACTATTCAGACAAGCACTGGTGCAGATGTAATATGCACATTTACTAAGAAACTGCGACAATGTAAGACACAGTTTTTACAGACAGAAGAAAGCACTGTTACATCTAGTACTGGTAGTGCTAATTGTAAACCACAGCCATGCAGAATTATTGTCGAATGTGATTTGCTTCTTGATGTTATCAATACATTTCCTCGCCCACTGTGATGTAGTGGCTACTATTAATGAAAACAGTGTAAAGGGTTTGCTTCAAGCATGGTGTGGCAGTAATAAAAATGTTGTAAACCGTAAGTATACAACTGCAAAAGAATCCAGAACAAGGCCATTCACAATAAACAAAGACATCGTCTTATCATAATTGGCTTTAGCAGTGGCGTAGGCAGGGGGGGGGGGGTAGGGGGGGTGATAACCCCCCCCCCCCCCCATAGACCCCTCGGTATATATAATCGAAAGTTTGAGGGGGGGGGGGGCAAATCGAAAGTTTGAGGGGGGGTGCAAATGGAAAGTTTGTCCCCGGGTAAAAATTGGAACCCCCCCCCCCCCTTGAGACGATCCTGGCTACGCCACTGGGCTTTACACATGAGACCATGCAAAATATACTGCTGTTTCTGCGATAGCATAATTCAATTTTGGGCGAAGGCATGTTATGGCATTGCTGTCAAAAGAAGGAAACCATAGTCGAAGACTCAATGAAGGACGCCAAAAAAGACGCGTTGACAATAGCTTTTCTACAGCTCTAGGTAAAACAAAGAGCGCCAGAAAAAAAGAAAACTAACAGCTGAACAAGCTCAGAAGGAATATATTCAGCAGCACCATACTTCAGGCTATGAATGTGGTCGATTTTAGTGACATACAGCTGTAAATTTTCATTTTTTGCAACTTTTTGTTGGTTTTTTGCGTTTTTCTTAATTTGATGTTTTTTTGTACAATTGTTGAAATAACTTTGTTAATAATTATCAGAACTGAACTAAATTTGCTCCAGTTACTCTGTATATATGTTCAAATAAAACGTATTGAACACTTTTGGAATTTTTGTAAAGATTTTTTTTTTATTGTTTAAATAGTGAAAAAATTGGACGAAATAATGACATTTTTACAGTGATGTATCGAAAAAAAAAAGTAAAAAAAAAACTATCCTCTTTTTTTAAAATGTAATCAATACGAAGTCTTAAACACATGTGTCTGCAGATTATATTAAGTTTTCATGAAATTTGTACAAACCATTTTTGAGTTATTTCCATTTAAAAATCGTCAATAAAATCCAATATGGCCGCCGTCACCATGGCAACGGAGGATTTAAAAAATTAAAAAAAATATTTTTATGCTTAACTCTTTGAGTTATAACTATTAGCCAAGTATTACATCTTTAGACTTGGAAATAAAGAAGTTGGTACTCATCACCCGCCCATGCCCTTAATAATAATCAATAGAAAGTATTTAATTGTAGACCACAATATGCGATAAATAAACAGGAATCGTTCAACAGTTTATTGCGACAATACCAAGCAATCACTGATCTACCGCTTATCCTGGTCAAAGCCCGCCATTTTCACAAGATCAAGTCAAATACCCTCTCCGTCTCTGATCCCTTCTTAAGCGTCGTTACAAAGTTCTGCTCATCCATTCGCCGTATGGCTACTTTTAAATTGAATTAGATGCAAAAATGATTAGCTGAATCACATTTCGATTTAATCACATATTTTACACCACCTTCTGTTACGAAAACATACTGTCCCGTAAGTCTCAACCCATTCCTATATTTTCGTGAGTCATTTATATACATCATGGCATTTGTTGATGTCATTTATGTACGTCATGTAATTTGTGCAATAATATGTGATCGTATATTATATGCAAAGTGTCATTTTAAATACGAGATGACATTTAACACAATATGTTATTCATATAGGCCTACATGATATCATTCCTATACGTCCTGTCATTTATGTATGTGGTAGTGTCCTTTCTGTGTGAGATGGCATTTATATAAATGATGTCACTAAATTTAATCTATAAATAGCTCACATCGTATGTTAGACATGACCACCCTGAACTCACCCATGAACTCACACATGAACTTTGAAATGACACATAAACTTTGAACTGACACATGAGCTCTAAAGTGACACATGAGCTATGAACTCACACATGAACTTTGCACTCACACATAAACTCTCAACTCACACATGAACTTTCAACTCATGCATGAACTCTCAACACACATGAACTCACAACTCACACATGAACTTTGCACTCACACATGAACTCTCAACTCACACATGAACTCTCAACTCACACATGAACTCTCAACTCACACATGAACTCTGAACTCACACATGAACTCTTAACTCATGCATGAACTCTCAACTCATGCATGAACTCTGAACTCACACATGAACTCTCAACTCACACATGAACTCTCAACTCACACATGAACTCTGAACTCACACATGAACTCTCAACTCACACATGAACTCTGAACTCACACATGAACTCTGAACTCACACATGAACTCTTAACTCATGCATGAACTCTCAACTCATGCATGAACTCTGAACTCACACATGAACTCTCAACTCACACATGAACTCTGAACTCACACATGAACTCTCAACTCACACATGAACTCTCAACTCACACATGAACTCTGAACTCACACATGAACTCTGAACTCACACATGAACTCTCAACTCACACATGAACTCTGAACTCACACATGAACTCTGAACTCACACATGAACTCTCAACTCATGCATGAACTCTGAACTCACACTTGAACTCTTAACTCACACATGAACTCTCAACTCACACATGAACTCTCAACTCACACATGAACTCTCAACTCACACATGAACTCTGAACTCACACATGAACTCTGAACTCACACATGAACTCTCAACTCACACATGAACTCTGAACTCACACATGAACTCTTAACTCATGCATGAACTCTCAACTCACACATGAACTCTCAACTCACACATGAACTCTCAACTCACACATGAACTCTCAACTCACGCATGAACTCTGAACTCACACTTGAACTCTCAACTCATGCATGAACTCTGAACTCACACATGAACTTTGCACTCACACTTGAACTCTCAACTCACGCATGAACTTTGAACTCACACATGAACTTTAAACTTACACATGAACTTTGAACTCACATGAACTTTGAACTCACACATGAACTTTAAACTCACACACGATTTTTGAACTCAATCATGATCTCTGAACTTTCTGTTTCCAGGCAGCCTGTATGATCATGGCATGTATGGGAACCTCCACTCTGCCAACCTCCTAGGGTCAGAGGCCAACATGTCGCCCCCACCCCCTCCCCGGGTCTACAAGCCCTGTGTTGTGTGTAGTGACAAGAGCTCTGGCTACCACTATGGGGTCAGCTCTTGTGAGGGCTGCAAGGTATGTACTCTAGGATCATTTGTATGTAAATATCATTCCAATCTCAGCCAATCTTCTAGGAGAGACAACTCCCAAAACAAACAACTTCTGCCTTGGTTGGACAAAGGCTATGGAAGCAAATCCAAAAAGAAAAGTAGGCTGAAATCAGAGTCAATGGCCTCAATGGCACATGTATACTTAATTGTGTTGGAGGGGATACCTTCCAACACTAAAATTAAGAACCAAGAAAAAGAAGATTTAAATGTGAAAGTCACTTGGAGTTAAATGACAATTATGGATTTACTCCATGATCGTTTATATGTAAAGTTGTTAGTATTCCAATGCTCATTTGTATGTAAACATCATTCAAATGTGAAAGTCACATGGAATTTAATGACAATTATGGATGTATTCCAATGCTCATTTGTATGCAAACATCATTCAAATGTGGAAGTCACATGGAATTTAATGACAATTATGGATGTACTCCAATGTTCATTTGTATGTAAATATCATTCAGATATGAAAATAACATAAATAAATTAAAACTCAACTTTCACAATTTTATTTTTTATTGTTATCACTTTTTGAAATATAAGATTATTATAATGAGCATACAATAATCATTTTGGATAAAACAAATTGTTTAAAGTTCTATTTGCAAACATAAAATGCCATGCTGATAATGATCACAAGTAATCCATAATAAATTATATTATTTCCTATATTAATTTAGGGTTTTTTCCGACGGAGTGTCCAGAAAAATATGCAATATACTTGCCATAAAGACAAAAACTGTGTTATAAATAAAGTGACTAGAAACCGCTGTCAGTACTGCCGGCTTCAGAAGTGTGTTGTCATGGGAATGTCAAAAGAAGGTAAGAATTAATTGTAATACAGTTATAGAACCAGATGTTTTGTCATACAACACAAAATTGTTTGTTAGTGATATATTGTTAATCTTAGTTTCTAGTAAGCTGTGTTCAGTATTGTTAATATTGTTATATCAACATTAACTGGTTTATATTTATATCATAAGTAAAATCTGTATTTGTAAACAATAACTTCTTTTTCCACTCAAAGACTATTAAAAATTTTATCTTTATTTTGCAAGTGAAACTTCAGATTAATTTTTTTTGTAAAGGAGGTAAGATTAAAATAAAAATACTTTTATACAGTGAATTTAAAACGTATGTAATTGTAAATTATTTTAAAAGAATAAGTATGAAGACAAAACAGAATTTTGTTAAAAATTGTTTCTGCCCATTCTATGCAGCCGTGAGAAATGACAGAAACAAGAAAAGGAAGCAGAAACCTGAAAGTACATCTGGCATCACAGACGACCTGACAGAAGACGACCAGATGTTGATACAGGAGGTCCTGGATGCGCACCGAGACACGACGCCCAGCGGTCAAAATGGTGCGACTATACCTGGCTCAAATGGTGCCTCAGTGACCGTAACCACTGCAGCCTCATCATCCCCCAACATGGCAACATCAACGACGGTATTTGTTTCATTATTTTTGTAATGGGTTTGTCCGTAAATGATGTCACTGTCACATTTTTTTGTGCAGTGTGTGATGAGGGGGAGGGGACAGTTTAGATAGTTGGATGTAACACTCTTGCATTTTAAAAACGTAATGCAAGAAACTGAATTTTAGCTGTAATTATAAATTTTAGAAAACTGTTTTAAAAAATTGTAATAGAAATTGATTAATATACTCTATGTTGACAGAATTAGTCAATATTTTACACCAAAAAAAATGTCTTAATAAAATTGATCTTCAATTTTGAGGGTAGTTGAAGGCTAAAATGTGATGTCATTTGAGGGGGGTCTGGTTTTTTGTGACACAGAGGAGGGGGAGATAACATTTTCAAAAAGTGCCATGTCGTTAATGGATGACACATTAACAATTTTATATTGTTTAAAAAACAGTTTTGACGCAAAAACTTTATTTCCTGTTAGCAAAACTATTTTTTAAATTGTTAGACTGTGTTTTATTTGAAAAAATTCAGCAAATACTACTTAAATTTTTTTTTTAAGTCAGTTAAGACAAGCCCTGTTAACTACTAAGTTAAATAGTTACATATTTATTACTGTTTAATTTTGTTCTGATTTTAAAGTAAAATATGTTTATCTATTTGTAGCAGGAAACAAAAGCAGATGATGATAGTTCTGGTTCATCTGGAGTGTTCTTGTGGGAAAAAATTACAGAGTTATCTTCTGCAGGAATTATCCTGATAGTTGACTTTGCTAAAAAGATTCCTGGTTTTTTATCTTTGTCTACATCCGATCAGATCACCCTCTTAAAGGCAGCTTGTTTGGAAATTATGGTTGGTTTTTTGCTTTCTATTTTTGTATTTGATTGAACAATATTAATGCTTTTTATATAAAATGGTTGAAATAATTTAGTTGATTGTTTAAAAAAATCTTCTATTGATTATTTTTTTGCTCTGAAATTTGAAAAAAAGGTTTTTAAAAAAATGTTAAAATCTGTTTTCATTTTTTGTAACACATACTTTACTTGTACATCAATATTACTTTAGTGCATACACAACAGATTAGAAATATTTCTTTAGTTAAGAATGCTGTGAATATTTTTAAATTGGTTTCAAAAATAATTAATGAACTCACTTTTACTGTAGTATGAATAGCATTATTAACTTTAGCTACTTTTTCTCCATTGTGTACATATTTTTTCTTCTACAGATTCTACGTATTAGCATTCGCTACGAACTCGACTCAGACACTATGCAGTTTTCCAATGGTCTATCTTTAACTCGTGAGCAGCTACAAAGAGGTGGTTTTGGCCCCCTCACATCAACTATATTTTCATTTGCAGCCTCGTTGAAAAGGATGAATTGTGATGAGACAGAGTATGCCTTGCTGTCCTCTATATGTTTGATAAGTGGAGGTAAGGTTTTAAAATATATTTGGATTTTCTACATATTTTGTTTTAATCTTTTTATATTCAAATTAAAGGTATCAATATAAAGTATTTTTGGTCCTATATATATTAAGAGAAATTCAAAATAAGACTACCTTTCTTATTGTAAGATCAAGCAATAAAAACCAATGAGTAAAAAATATTTCAAACCACTGTGTAAAAAAAATTATTTCATTATTACTATACTGACTTTTTTTTTTGATAAATAATAAAAACTTTTTTAAATATTTAAGAAATTTTTCTGTTCAATTCTTTAAAACAGACAGGTCAGGACTGCATGACATAGAAAAAATAGAACAAATGCAAGAGCCTTTATTAGAGGCCTTGAAACATTATATTAGGTCACGGCGACCTGATCAGAAGCATACCTTCGCTAAGATGCTGATGAAGCTGACAGACTTACGAAGCATCAGCGTCAAGGGTAAGTAACTGCTTGTAGTTTACAGCTGGCATTTTATGTTAATATTGTTTGGGATTTTTTATATACCCATTTGCTTGTCAATGTTTTATATAGTTTAGAATTACAAATGCATGAGTCTTACCATACATCTATCAAAGTTTCATTTTGAAAATATAATTGTCCAAAAATTTCTTTTAAAGATAATAAAATTTCATAAATTTGTTATAAACAGCAAAAGATTTTCATTTAAAGGATAATTTAAGTTTTAAATTTAAAGACTAATATAAATTGATAGGATATTACTAAGCTCTTCTTGTATTAATTACGCTTTCGTTAATAATAATTTTCAAAGGGAATTATTTAATCTAAATCCTTGAACTTCTCAAATTTTTAATATTTAAACTCTATGCTTAGACTTTGTTTTGATATATCAAGATTAATCAATATATGCAATTTAATAACCAACACAATATAAACTTGCAAATAACTATGCATTTTGGCACATACTCTGCTTGCTATTATTATTATTATTATATTTGCTTAAAAAATTTAATTCACTTTCTAAGAAGCTTTATTAAAATAACAATTGTAAAAAGTTTATTTGGCATTGTGGAAATCATAGTAAAATTAAGAAAGTTATAAAAATTGTTATTGTTAAACATTAAATAATATTTTTTCAAATAAATTTTAAAAAAACTGCTTTGGTAAAAAAAAACAGTGTGTTTGATCAAACAAAGTCTGTTATAAAGGCATAAGTAACACCCATTGAATAGACGTTTAACACAACAAAAAATACAACCAAAATAAAAAAAATTTTTTAACATACTTTCATTACTTTTAAAGATAAGCTTTATTTGAAAAAAAAGAGCAACAATAGAGAACTTGATTATAAAAATTAATTTTTTGAAGGTAAAATATAAATTATTTTATCAAAAGGTAATTGAATGCAATATTAAAGATATAATTTAAATTAAATTAAATTCAACAAATATAAACAAACTACAGCTGTTGAAAATAATTAAAATATTTTTATAATGCATTTTCAAGCTTTATTAGATGTTTTTTTTTGACTTGCTATTTAGTTTTTTAGTACCTTTACATTTATTTGTGTCTAGTACAAAGCATGGCTTTTTTTAAAAACGAATCAAAATATTTTAATTTAACAAAGAATACAAACCCATGCTTTTGCTTAGACTGCCATCACAACCAAAAACAATTTTAAATTGTATTCTTTTGAAAATAATAATAAATAAAAGAATGTACAATTTCAAAATGGAGTCAATTTTGGTTTTTGTTTTTATTATAATTATTTTTGGTTGTTATATGGCAACGGTTTACTTTTTTTTTTTTGTTTGCCACCCGCTTTGCTTGCTTCATATTGCCTTTTGTTGTTTCCCTTGGCTGTAGGTGAGAAATTGATGTCCCCTTATGCCCTGGACTGCATTCAGGACTTGCTGACTAAGCCCATGTCCCCACCTCAGCCCTCTTATCATGAAAGAGTTTTACTTCTTCCCAGGCTGACACACGGAAGCCGCTCTGAAACAGTGACGTCAGCAACTCTTAGATCCTACCCTGACCTCGGTGTATCACCACCGGGGTTGACCGTAGCACCCCACACCCCATCACCATTATCTGTTTCTCATCCCTCGCCTGTTGCTTTTAGTAGTGGGAATGGTTTTGGTAGCACTAGAAATCTTTCAGCTCAAAAAGAGACAGGTAATCTTCTAGAAATACCAAGGAGTTTTTCTTCGCAAAATGTTCACGAAACTATAGCAGGTTCCTCAAACTCAGGCACAAAAATGCCATCTCTGAGATTAAATAAGACCCAGACAACTGAAGAACTAACCAGCCCTGTTCAAAGTTTTCCTAATGGCAAAGATAAACAAAACTCGGTCTACCTTTCTTTTTGGAATTTTAAACAAATTCAACTTCAGCAACAACAAAAACAACAGCAGCAGCTTCAGCAGCAGTTGCAACATCAGCAACTACAACAACAACATCAACAGCAGTTGCAAAAATCCCGAAGTTCTCAATCTCACCAGAGCTTTGCGCAAGCTCCTAAGGCCAACAAGTACACAATGGAAGCTTTAGAAGTTGTCGTGCCACCTGCCAAACAAAACGAACTGGCGAATTCTTCCTCTCTTAACCAGAGCCCATCGGACGCCCCAAGCAGTGAACCTCTGCCATCACCAAACTTTTTAGCCAACGCCCACCAGCATCATTTCTCCACTCCATCCCCTGATAACAGTATCGCTAGCTTGTATCCATCATCCTCCGCAAATTCAGAGGCTGAAAAAAATTATCACTCAACAAATTTTTTGTTGTCACAAACTCACTTCATCCCTGAGCAGTTTCAGACGGCAGCTACAACTTCCAAAGAACAACTTCTTTCACAAGCTTCATCTTTACTAATGAGAGCAAATCTTAATTACACACAGGGACTAATGCCTCCCTCATCATCATCATCATCATCAACTGTTAATTCTAACCTGCATCCTTTAATGGATGCTATTTCAAGAGTTAGTTCTGACCTGCAAATGTCATTGGAGCCTCATCATGGATTAGATCAGGCAAACCTTGATATTTCTTCTATTTTCAACATCGCCAGTAATGGATTGCCCTCCCAAGCTAGAACAGATGGTGCTGCTGGCTTGCCATCCTGGGTCACAGACCTACGAGAGAACAATCTGATATACAGACCAGACCTGCTGCTTTCTCAGCCTATAAATGGGTCTTTTGGAATAACAGGACAAACATCCAATCAAACTAATGTTAATTCCAACACAGAAGAGAATGTTGCGAGGGTTTCCCAATCTTCAGTACAAGAGAGTGCAAACAAAAATGACACCAAAAAAGCTGCTAATGCCATGACTATAGGCCAGTTAATTGGTGGGGCTATGAAAATTGAACCAGATGACTGGATGACATATACTGACCCACAATAGACTTATTTATACAAAATTCATGTAGCAAAATGAAAGTCAATAGAAAGGTTACATTAAAAAATAAAACAATTTCACTAAAGCATAATTTAAAGTTTTTAAATAAATGTATTTAGAAATAAAATAGCAGTATTTATATAAATAATCATTGATATTTCAATCTTTAGCATTAAATTAATACATGTTAAAAGAATAGTTTTAAAAATAAATAATAACATATAAATTAATACATCTTAAGGACAACACCTTTTTTAAAAATATATAAATAGAAATTTTAATTTGATAGGATATTGTTAAAATAACATTTCAATCAGTCTTGATAAATTGATTATTCCTTTTCAATCATCAGTTCAGACAGACCTAATATATACAAATCAAAGTACTTATATGGAATAGGTTTGGATCCAGCTAATAATATTGATCTCCATGGTATATTTACTAACCAATAATAAAATATTTGGATGAATGTATCTATTCATTTCAAACTTGAAAATGGTTTGATGCTCATTTTTCTTTACAATTGTTGAATATTTAACATCTTGTTCTTACTCAGGTATTTACACGTATATGTTTAGCATACAAAATTCTGTGATGTGCTTATTTGGCACGCTACTGGTTTTGTTTGTTGTTTGTGAGTTTATTATATGCATCCCTGCCGTAATGATACAGATATATGGATTTTACAATGCTTGATAAATATATGGCATGAACATAATAATTGTGCTGAGTACTCAGGTATTTTTTTGCAAGTTTAGATAATTTTACTTTTTTGTGGTTATTAAAATAAATGTACAAATATATATTTTTATACTTTTTTCTGGCTTTTATCGTTAATGGTTTTTTAAACTCTAATTTAACTTCCTTTTAGGTAAAAATTCTTACCTCATTTAAATTCTGTTTAATGCTTGTTTATGGTATTGGTATATTGTTGATAAAAAAATGTTCACAGCATGATTTTTGCTAAGTATAAAAATAAAATGTTTCACTGTACTTTTTAGAATTGTCCTTAAACTAGCTGATTAATTTTCATTCACTGTAGTTGGTTCTAACAGTTTATTTCACTTAAAGAAAGTGTACATATTTTCTGTTTCCTAGTTGTATTCTTTTGAATTTAAAGTTTATTTTGTAGCTTCAAATTAAACTTCCGATAGTTTTACATTCAAAATGTTTAGGAATTTTTTTTAGTTCACTCATCTTAGGTATCACTTTGCTATTACTGTTTGAATAAAAAATGTTACAGTGGGATTATGTTGTAAATAGCCTACTTGCACAATTGGTTTTTAATGTTTGTAGAAAATATCCCTGTGTAAAAAATAATCCCAGTGTTGGTTTATACCGGTTTTTGCAGTATTGTGGTTTAATTGTCCTTAATTATTTTTTATCACGATTTTTATTCATCAAGATAATCAACTTTTTGTGAATTAGCAATATATAAATAGCATAATAATAGTTAAATTCAATTTTTTAATTTCAAAGTTACTTATGTTTTACATTTAAATTTTTAAAGTAATGTTATGAAAATGCATTATTCATAAACTATAAAATAATTATGGCCAGTTTAGTATTAGTCTGTATTCTTACTTTGTTTTATTATTACTTGTGTCTTGATTATTTTCCTAAACATTTTTTAGCATAGTTAAAATTTTAATAAAAAAAATAATAAGCTTTTATGTATAACTTGGTTTTCAAAGAAATGTCTGTTCACTATATAATGATTTAATTTTTAATTACCTTTTAACTAAGTATATGTTTCATTATCTTAATTATGAAGATAAAAATCAATTAAGGTTTATCATACTTAAGGTTAAATTAGGCTAAATACAGGCTATAAAACAATCTTTAAATTATATATCTTATGGCAATGTTCCGGTGATGTATTATGTAGTTTATATATAGTTATAAGTAATTTTTAACATGTAGAAACAATTTAGCATTATTTCAAGTAACTGTTTTTTTTTATTTATAGGGATTTAAAAAAAACACAATATAAAATATCATTTATGATAATAAGGGGGTCATCCATAAACACTGCCACACTTTTATAGGGAGGGAGAGGTTCAGAATTTTGTGATTATATGAGACGACGGGGTATAATGTCACAATTATACTGTTGAAGCATTAGTTTTTAAAATTAATTATAACAATTATTTTGAATTTTTAAAGAATGTTTGTAAATTGTCATTCATTTTGACCATCATAACAAATATTTTCCCAGCTCAGTTTGTGTTTTTGGTAATGGATCCCTTTTAAAAAGTATGGCATTCCGATTGGGGGTTAAGTTGAAATAAGATTTCATTTTAGGGGCGTTTCACTTTTTATGATGGTGTGTGATAAAATGGAGGTAGGGAGGAGATAATTATTTTTTTTTAACTATGGTACCATAAATGGAAGACTGCTTACAATTTGTCTTTTTTATTCCCCTTTAGATGTTTACAATTTTATTTCTAGTAAGAGTGAGAAGCATACAAGATTAAAATACATTGTTTAGATGTTTTTAGAACTCAATTATTTTTTTATTCTTAAATTTATATTTGAAGTAATTAAAAAGTTTGGTTTAAAAAAAGTGCTTTAGTTTTTAATGCTTTCTTTTGCATTTAAAACCTCTCTCTCACTCTGTACTTGAAAACTAACAATCTAGCTTAAGTCCTCTTTCTTTTTGCGCTTACTCTAGAACTTTTACACAAGTAGACTTAAAATGTATTTTGACAGAACAATTATTGAATTTCATGTTATTACCAACTGAAATTTTTAAAATGTTTACATACAAATGAGTGAAATATCAGTTGGGATGACTATCAATATGCTTTTGTGCATAAGTAGTAAAGAACTGTTTTTATAGAAGTGGTTAATACTTAAAAAGAGAGAAACAGCTCTTTTATTGGAATGTAAATATTTTTATAAAAAGAAAATTCAGGTATGTTTTATTTTACAATCAGCATTTAATTAGTTTTACTCTCAATTCTTTAGTTGTCAGTATTTAATATAATACTAACCATTTGAACAAATTATGGTTTCTTATGGAGTAAATACGTTTTATATTCACAGGTGCAGAGAAAGTACTACATTTGAGACTGGAGCGATATGCACAATTACCTCCCTTAGTGGTTGAGATGCTGGAACGTGTGGAGAATGTTTGTCTACCTTGATTTGTTTGTGCAACAGGTTTTCAGTTAGCTCATTACTGTTGAACTCAATAGTATAATTAGGTATACTTACTCAAAGAAATACTAGTGTAGTTGCTTTTCTATCATTTAAAGTTTGATAAATAGTAATTTTTTTATAAAATATGAATGTCTGTATAACTTTATATTTGTAAATATATTTGCTAGGTTTTGAAATAAAAAGCAGAATATTTATTTATTCACATCAGTGAATCTAGATACAGGGTTTTAATATTTTAAATCTTTTGAAACAATAAATACATACCAAATGTATTATACCATAAGGATTTTTAAACACTGAAGCCTTAAATGTAATTATGTCTGATTTTGAAGTATATGTATACTTCTATTCTTAGATGTGTGTGTGTGAATTACTGGAATGTCTTAAAAGAGGATTTGTGTTGTATTTTTTTTAACATGATCAGGTTACCATATTCTGTCTACCTCACCAATGATTTTTTAACACATTAACTCTTTGAGAAACAGCCTAATATTATGTGTGAAATGAGAATTATATTTGTATTAATTTAACAATGTCTTGGTATTTTTAAACAAAGTAATTTTAATATTGCAAAATAACTTTTCTTGTTGTTTTAAACAATGATTAGTACATAATTCAAAATCTTAAGTTTAGGTATTGATTAGAGTTAAGTTTATTTTTTTAAAAATTCAAGTGTAATAAGAAAACATTACTATAAAAAAATACAAGTTATCTTTTACTTTTATATTTCAAGACTTAGTTCAACAGAATATTTAATATCCATATATTCTTGAAAAAAAAAAATATTTTTGCATTGATAAAGGGATTTTGAAGTAAAATTTGAAATAATGAATTTTAATATATTAATTTTTACACAAAAATTAAAATTAGACTATCAATCTAAGTGCAATAATGTCTATTAAATACTATTCTTCTTTTTAGGAACTTCCTTAAAAAATGAATGTAAAATTATATTTGTACAAGTCTAAAAGCTGTTTCTTGTTAGTGTGTTTTCCAATTCTCTTTTGACAACTTGCAAGTTCATAATTTTTCTACAGCCCTATATATTCCCTGCCTTCAGCAACTTTATTTTCTACCTCATTCCATTTTTATAAAAATATTTCTGCATTTCCTGATCACAATTTTTATTTTAAAACAAAAATCTTTTTCACCAATTTAGCTTTTAGAAGAAATTAAAAATAACTCAAAGTATTTTATAATGAATAGTCATATTGGTCTTGAGCAGGGGTCTCCTAACTACGGCCCGCGGGCCGGATGCGGCCCGCGACGTCCTCTCATCCGGCCCGCGGAGATCTTTTTGTCCACGGAAAAAACGTTTGTTGGTGATGGCTGAGGAACTTTGCCCAGAAAAACCAAAGACATGCCTGGAAGAAACTGGCCCCCGAACTGAAATTTGATAGTTAATGCGGCCCTCGGACTGAAAAGTTTGGAGACCCCTGGTCTTGAGTATCAAATTTAGGACCTTTTTTAATTTTTGCAGAAATTTGAGCAGATCTCATCCACTTTGTCATTTACTAGCTTGGTCTATTTTAATATATGTATATACAAGATTTGTACATGTTTTGTACTCAAATGTTTGATTGAGAAATCTTTCAGAAAAAATATAATTTGAGTGCGGTGACAACTTAACAATTACAATTGTTCTATTTATAATAATTACAATCTTTAACCATTATTAAGCACATCATTTCAGTTTCAGGTATCATTAAAAAAACGAGTAGATTAATGAGATTTTCTCTTAACAATGTATTTTTCCTTAATCAATGAAACTGCTAATTCAAAGCATTTTTAATTTTATGTGTAGAAACATATTTATAATTTTATTTAATCTCAGAGTTCAGCATCAATTTATTTAACAAAAAAGTGGATTCACAATATGTGTAGGTCTATTAGTAATATTATTAGCTTTATGATGTCCATGACATTTTCATCATAAATGGCATTTTAAAACCATAATTACGCATTCATTTATTTGTAGAATAGCTTTTTTTTAAAACTGCAGAAGCTGGGCATTGTTCTTGTACATTTATTGTTCTTACATGTTGGCCTATCCAAAATATAAATGGCATGTTGCTGAGAACAGCATTCAGGTAAAATCTTAATGGCAAACTAATATTCTATACAAAAGGGCAGTAATTCATTCATACCATTGTGTTGTCATTTTATGTTTATATATTTTTTTTCACTTTTCTTTTTGCCATATGAATAATTAGATAATTGTTTTAAACCAATTAGTACAAGTCAATGACAACAATAAAACATGCACTGTTTTCAAATGATCTTCCGAATATAAAAAATGTAGAAAAAGAATCAACATTTTGTTTGTAGATTTGTTCAATAGCAGTATAAAAATGAAGAGTATAACAAATCAAGAGTGAAACGATTTGGATGTATTTGATAAATACACTTACCCTATTCATTGGAATAGTTGTAATGTTTGTTACACACATACTTTAAATTGTATTTTCAAATCTTATAATTTAGCATGACCACTATAAATGGTGTTACTTGTAGAAAAAACTGTTCCTACATTAAGTATAATGTGACATAGGTTAGATGTGTCACAATACAGCTTAAAACCAGTGCCATCTCTTCATTCGGCTGACATTTTTTCTGAATATAGATAAAGTCAAGCTGAGGTCCCCAATTATAATAGTTAAATTAATTGTTCCACCGTAAATATTGTTTTCCTAATTACAATTTTTTTTTAGTTTTCAATATTTTCTACTTATATGTGAGCAACAATTTTGGGTCATGCTAAATTATAAGCTCAATTTATTTTTGTCATGTTTTTATGTCAAATTACCAAGAATTATCTTTCACTATTTAAACATGAATAACATGCTGAATATTTTAGCTAAACATTTTTCAATTGCTTACATGAATGTTTTACATTGCTGAATAATATACCTCAACATATTTCAATGGAATAGACATGAATATTTTACAGTGCTGAATAAAATACCTCACCATATTTCACTAGATTAGAGGTGTGTGTTACCACAGTGAATATAATACCTCATCATGTATACCACGAGAATGCTAAGTGTGAGATGGATGTTTGAGAGGACAGTTGTACATTACATGTTTTTTCTCCTCGCTGTTATACCGGTTCATTATTTCCTCGGTGAAAAACCCAAACCTGTTGAAAATTAGAATTTTCTTCTCTGTGTACAGATGTTGATTTCTTTCAATTTTCTTTCCTATTTATATCATATCTGTAACGGAATATACTACTCAGCATAATCCTAGCTAGTACTCTCCCATAATTGGATGATTTGTTACAAAAATTTAGTAATTAAAAGAAAGCAGTGATAAACATTATGGCTGTCATACAGTAACTGTATTTGCTAAAAAAATTTAAGGTTTATTTTTTTATTTTATTTTCTTTTTTCTTTTTGACCAACTGTACTTATTCCTACCTTAAAATATCGAAGCTTAATTATTATGGTTATATACTATTATAGCTTATTTAAATTTAAATGAAGATTTCAAAGTTTTTAAAACCACTATGAAATAAGCATTAACAACTTTATACAAATAGAATAAAAAAAAAATGTTTTTATTACATATGTGTGTGGTGAATTTCAAAGAAAGTGAGTTGTTAGTTGTAATACATTTTTCACTGAAGTGTTTTTGTATCTGTCACCAATTATCAACCTCAACAAGAATACCTCAATACACTGTGAAATATATTTTTGCCTTTTAGGTTATAAATAAAATAATTCTTTTTTTTGTAAATACTTTGCTTAGCTACATATTAATCTAAGCTGTAAACTTTTTGAACATTGTATACAACATTCTAGTACTAATATTAATAAAATAATATCTAGTTTGTTATACATGATAGTAGGTTGGTATTTTATATTTTTTTTTTGCTATATTTCAAGTCATGTCATTTTAAAATTGATTAATTGTCATGATAATACATTTTCACTTATCGTCAAATTGCCAGAATAATTTATGTATTATTTTGTTTTCCTTTCTTCTTTTTAGTTTCCGGTGAAAATGTTTTCTTTTATTTCTAGAAAGTTGATTTTTTATTTTGATCTTTTTTTAATTAAAAATTGTAAACATTTTTATAAATCATTACTTGCATGAGTTTAGTCTAAGTAACTTTTTTTAACTGTAAAAAACAAAATTAAGTTTTTATGTTCTCTTCAATTATCTTGCTGAGAAAAACAATCACTTCTTTATTGAATACATATTGTGAAATCTTTAGCCATTGAGGAAAATGAAAGAGTTTTTTTAATTTCTTTATTATCCCAATTCTACTCAAAAAGGTAATGTGTTTAAACATTAAATGAAGCGCATAATTTTTAAGTATTTATATAGGCCTATACATTGTGAAATTGTTTTTTCTGTGTTACTATAATTTGCATTGCCCTTGCTAGATTTATAAATTCATAATCCTGAAAAAATAAAGCTTGTTTATGGGATTAAGATGTTAAAAAACACTAGTTTTTTTTTTTTTAAAGTTCAGTTCATAGTATGTTTTTGCCACTTCTATAAAACTAAAGAAAGTCTATTACCTTGAAAATATTAAAATATTTTTAGGAACCAATTTTGGTTGTAATTTGGAATTTTTTTTTGTTTTCAGTGGCATCAAAATTGTTGTGTGTATTTGAAACTGAGATTTTTTAAAAACTGTTTTTTTTTTGCATTAGTTGTCATATAAACATTTTTAAAAAACATTCTAGAATATTAATTCAATTATTTTTTTATTAATTCAATACTTAAATATTGAAAGCAGTTTGTCATATGTGTTAATCTTTGAAAATAAATGTAATTTTTAACCTATGAATAAAGAAAACTCAATATGAAACAGGGCTACAGGACAAACTAAAAATTGTCCAACTACCTCTATGCATCAGTGTTATGACTAAGTACATAAAAATGTATTAAGAAATATTGTGAAATGTTGCGTTAATTTTCCATTTGTTTCAGAAAGCAGTCATTGCTCAGTTTTAATCACTACTTAAAATGTTAGAATATGATGTTAAGATCAGCATAGGATAATAGAACTTTTTTTAAAAATTGATTTGTTATTTTGTGGATACTGAATGCTATGGCTGATAAGCCAGACTAAAATAAATAAACTTCATGGTCACTGGCATCACTTTTTATAAAAAAAGCAAACTTTAAAAAATATTTCCCTACACTCTTTTGAATTAAATATTTAGACTAGATCCTTAATGACTTTATTCCTGCAGACTAAATTTTTTAATGACTTATTTTATGCAGACTTTATATCTGCAGACTAGATTAATAATTACTTCATAACTTTACTGGCTTCAAAGCTTTAGGTCAGATTAATTATGTTAGTCTGGTATAAAATAAATAATTTTAACTTAAAACTATGTTAAATGTTTTTCTCAACAATGGCAAAAAAAAAAATTGAGTTTTTATTAGGGTTAGTGTCAATAGTGTCATGTACTATTTTTTATTAAATTTTTAGTGAAATTTTTGCAGTGTCTTAATAGTTACGCCATGGCTTGTGTCATGGGAACAAATGTAATTGTGTGTCTGTAATATATAAAGATAATTATGTTAATAAAATCTTCCACACTAAATTTATTATGTTGTTTCATTTATCATTTCTAATACAGACTGTTAAGTACAATATAACTTCTTCATTTCTGATATAGACTGTTAAGTACAATATAACTTCTTCATTTCTGATATAGACTGTTAAGTACAATATAACTTTTTCATTTCTGATATAGGCTGTTAAGTACAATATAACTTCTTCATTTATGATATAGACTGTTAAGTACAATATAACTTTTTCATTTCTGATATAGACTGTTAAGTACAATATAACTTCTTCATTTCTGATATAGATTGTTAAGTACAATATAACTTCTTCATTTCTGATATAGACTGTTAAGTAAAAAATAACTTCACAACAAAAAAGAGCTTGCAACTGCATGTTGCAATGGAATAATAAATAATAAATAGGGCTTATATAAGAGAGAAATGAATAAAATCCTGAGTCCACTAACATAAATTACTTACTCAGAACCAGCAGAGTTTCTTCCAGGCATCTCTTCGGGGGGGGGGGGGGGGGGCAAAGCCCCCCCCGAAAATTTTTTACCGCCCCCCCCCCCCCCCCCAACGAAATGAAATTTATATAATTTATATAGAAAATATATACTTTTAACAGTGTCCGCCCCCCCCGAAGAAAGTTTACCGCCCCCCCCGAAAATTTCAAGTGCCCCCCCGGAGAAAAAAGTCTGGAAGAAACACTGAGAACCAGAGATTTCAACTCCATTTTGTTTCTCGTATTTTTGGAAAAGAGCTGCTAAACAATGAAGGGGAAAAACTATGCGGCCAAATCTCTTACCATTATGGTATACATTTCATTATACCGTGCAATAAAGTTCAACAGAGAAATAAAGATAAATAAAAGATTGTTAGAAGGATGAAATCAGGTATTCGAGGTAAGCAGAGGGATTGAAAGATTTAAAAATGTGACAACTTGTCATCATTTTTAATGTCTCACACTTATGCCCTAGAGTTGTGATAGTATATTGTATCCCTGTGCTTTATGTCAGCTGTTAGTTATCGTGGTGCTATAATGTGTATGAATGAAAGGTGTATACGTGGGACGGATGTCGGTGTAAATTTTCCGTTTAGTGACCAAGAAACATAGTGCCGCATCAGAAAGCTCCCTCCCCTTTTGTAGTTCTCTGGCAATTTTCTCGGCAGTTCCCCGATATCGTTTTGCCTGTGTCAGTTCCTTTTCTGCTGTGCGCCTAATTTCCTGTTTACTTTTTCCTTGAGGCGTCCAGTCAAGCGTCTTTCTGTATAGTCACCTGGAGTGATTCTTAAGATATTAATAATTTCTATGCGCGTTAAATTATTTTTTTCAGAAATGTGGAAATATTTTGAGGATGAATTTCACACCACTCCCCACACATCACACACCACTACCCAAACACCACTTCCCACACACCACCCACACACACCATTCCTCACACCACTCCCAACAGACCACACATCCCCACACCACCCACCTCCCCACACCACTCCCCATAGACCACTCTCCACACACCACCCAACACACCACTCCCCACACACCACCCCCACACAACACCCCTCACACAACACCCCTCACACAACACTCCTCACACACCACTCCACACACACCACACACTACCCCCACACACCACTCCCCACACACCACACACTACCCCCACACACCACTCCCCACACACCACGCCCCACACACCACGCCCCACACACCACTCCACACCCCCACACACCACTCCCCCACACCACTCCCCAGACACCACTCCCTCAACACCACTCCCCACACACCACACATTACCCCCCACACACCACTCCCCACACACCACTCCCCATACACCTGATTAAGGTATCTATGTTGTTGTCGTGTATCACGGTGGTTGTGCTGACTTGAGCTGCTTCATTATACTGAGGTACTGCACGTTGGCTTAGCAATCCTCAGATCTCAACACTAGCTTTCAAAAATATGAAGCACGGAACATGAATTTACTCATTGAAAAAAAAAAAAATTGGAAGTAATTTCAAATTGTATGTGTAGGAAGATACATAAACAATACATGTATTAAAGGCATTGCTCAACTGTGTTTTGTTATTTGAAAAATACATTACAATGTTGAATGCTTTCCAAACGATTTAACCGTGTCACCAGTACGCTATATTTTGATATATTTGATACACACAATGTATAACAATATCTCTGATAGCTGTGTAATCTATGGGAAGAACTGGGAACTGGGACAGAGTTTTTTTTACGTTAAGTATCTATAATTAATTAATCTTGAACTGGGAGTTGATTGTTTACATTGGATTGGTCGGATCCATGTGATGTTATTTAACACCAATATATTAATATTATAATAAACATAACACTTAAATTATACCTCTCTCTTTCCCCCCTCCCATCTAACACTCATAACAATTCAAATATACGCTGGATTCGTGCAATATGTTACATATATATATATATATATATATATATATATATATATATATATATATATATATATATATATATATATATATGTATATATATATATAATATTGCAGGTATTTTAAGTCTGCTGATTTTATAGTCTAATATATTTTTTTACGAGTACAAAATGTAACATCTATATTATATCTTGAAAAAAATAAGTCATATTAGATTTTGACAGTTTATTATAGTCTATGCAATGTATGCATAATGCAACAATAAAATTTATTTTCTCAATGCTAGTATTTGATCGCACTTTTGAAATAGTAGGATGATCAATAATGTAAAAGTATAAATACTTATATAAACTAGAAATGGTTTCGAATTTCCCTTTATCGTGGTTTTTTTTAAGGGGGGGGGGGGAATTTGAGTTTGATCCACCTATGGCCAAGTTCCAGAATATAATCTCTGACCCTGGTCTTTTTGTACCGGTAACCTAAACAAATATTACGCAATAGGTTGCCCTATCGCATATCTATCTTTAAACAATAAAGAATAGGGTGATGAACAAGCAACTTAATAAGTAGCTGACGTCATGTAAAATAGACCCAACACTTGAACAGGGGCCTATATGATAAGGGGCATACAATTCTGGTATAAATAGGCCTGGATAGACTAGACATTTGTATTGCTGCTCTTGAGGTACCAAAGCAATGGCGAATTTGACAGTGTTTTTGCTGTGCTTTGTAGTGTTGTCTGTCAAAGGATGTAAGTATAGATAAGCTTTAGCGCAAGATTTAGATCAGGGTTCTCCAAACTACGGCCCGCGGGCTAGATGCGGCCCGCGAGGTCCTCTCATCCGGCTCGCGGAGATCTTTTTGTCCACGGAAAAAACGTTTGTTGGTGATGGCTGATGAGCTTTGCCAAGAAAAATCAAAGACATGCCTGGAAGAAACTGGCACCCGAACTGAAATTTGATAGTTAATGCGGCCCTCGGACTGAAAAGTTTGGAGACCCCTGATTAAGATTAATGAAAAAAGTAAGTTTCGAACATTTGTTGTGTTTGTATGTTAGAAATGCGGGAGAGGGGGGGTCATATTCATATGTGATATCACGTTTCTTAAGTCTACAGGATCAGACTTTTTTGACGAGCAGGGGTGGGCTGGGCCGCCGGTCTACCGAGAAAAATTCCGGTGGGCCTCCACGAAAAAATTCTCGGTGGGCCCCTATGTACGGAACTGTAATATTCCTATTAATTCTTTGAAGTTTTTAAAATAATGTTGGTATTTTACCATTTTACCATTTCTTCAAACCAAGACTTAAAGTTCAGGATTTAATGGAGAAGGAATTGTACATTGAAAAATTCAATCGGGGGTTGGAGCCTCGTTTTAAAATTCCGGAATTTTGAAAATTTGATAGGGGTCGGCGAGGTCGAGTCGGTAAAGCTCAGTTCGAACCCTTAGTGCCTAGTTTGTTCTTGGTTGGGCAAAAGCTAGGAAGCAAATCCAAGAAGAAAAGCAGGCTGAAACCGGAGTCAATGGCCTATATGGCGCATAACCTTTGACACGTATATTAGGGGGATCCCTTCCAACACTAAAATTAACGATGGAGAAGAAGAAAATATTATTGAATGCCTGGTAGTACCGTTACAGGGTTTCCTTCAGGCTTCAATCCGGCGAGTGGGCATGGGACTACAGAATGTATTTTTACAAATAACTATCTATGTTCCCTGACGTATCGGTTGCCCTTAATGATTACCCCCCCCCCCCTTCATCGTTTAATGAGAAATGTCGCTACTCATTTTTTTATATACAAAAATTCTCTCTCTCTCTCTCTCTCTCTCTCTCTCTCTATACATATATATATATATATATATATATATATATATATATATATATATATATATATATATATATATATATATATATATATATATATATATATATATATATATATGTATGTATGTATATATGTGCTCAGATTTAAAGTATTTCTATATTTTCACTTTGTTCCTTATGTCCCGTCCCGTCCCCCCTGGCTACCGAGTTACCTCTCATTAACTAAGCTACTATTTTTAGCGCAATTTCCATTCTGGAGAATTGCGTTTATTAACTCGTCTTTTCTGGGAAAGAATGGATGGATGGATGTGTGTCTGCAGCTTTAAGTCGTATCTCCTCCTCAACGAAGCAATATCGAGGACTAGTTCCAAAAGCAATTATGTTAAGCAAGTTACGAGGATGAACATAGGCCATAAAAATTCCGGGTTTCTTTCATGGATTTCCCGGAAAAGCCAAAAAACCTCGGAAAAATGTAGTTTTTGGCCCATAACTCGGCAACCAGACCACTAAGCGACTTGAAACATGTACCAATCGATTCCTGCCATAATTAAGAACAATATTGCCGAAGAAAGTTTTCAAAAATATCCTTTCGTTTGGTCACAACATTTTTTTTGAATTAATTAAAATTTGGACCGAATTAGTAGGCATTTTATGCAACCACACCACACGCGTCATCACGTTCAATAGCTGCGCCATCACGTTCAATGGCTGCGACGTCACGTTCGGTAGCTGGGCGCGCAATGGTTTTTAGTCATGTTACTCTATTGTAAATAAAACATGTAAAATACTGAAAAAAAATTAATAAAAAACGTTTTAATAACTAACCAATGGTTTTACTAACCCTGCTCTTGATTTACGCTACGACAGAGCTATTTTTAGATAACACAAGGACATTGCGCTAAAATTGTGACTAGACTTTTTTTAATTACTTGTTTTTAGTTATCTTTGCTGTTTATTTTTTCAGACACGACAACAACAAGGAACTACCAATGGGACAGTTCGACAACCCATAGGTCAACCCCAAGCACCACGACATCGACAACCAGACCGTCAACGACAACCCGCACCACCACCCCCGACTGGTTGCACAGAACCACGACTAACCCATGGCTGATTTATCAACAAAGCACCACGCCCTACTACAACCCCTACACGACACCTTACCACCCCGACTGGTACAACTTGTATACCACACCAGACTACTACAACACACCAGACTACTACAACCCCTACACGACCCCTTACCGCCCAGAATGGTACAATTGGTATACCACACCAGACTACGAGAACACACCTAACTACTACAACCCCTACACGACACCTTACCGCCCCGACTGGTACAACTGGTATACTACACCAGACTACTACAACACACCAGACTACTACAACACACCCGGCCCTTATGATTACACCACACCCCACTATAACTACCACACTACTGACGGCCAGCCGCAACCTCTGAGTAAGAAATGTTTTGTCTCTAATTTTTTAATCCAACTTTTGAAATAAATAATTTGTTAGAATTTTATTTAAATAATTTTTTTTAAAGTGTTGATGAGGTCTTTAGTTATTAGGTAGATTGTACCTATTTAAACATAATTTTAATATGGGTTCGTCCATAAATGACGTCACACTCCTAGGGGTGGGGGGGGGGGTCGGACTTTTGTGACGAGGTGTGACGGGGGGGGGGGGAGGGAGGTTCAGAGACTGATGACACATTGTTGCGTTTAGAAGATGTCAGCAACTGAGTTTTAGCAGTTATTTTGTGCTGTTGTTGTTGTTGGTTTTTTTTTTTTTTTAGATTTTTTTTCATAAGTTGCGATTAAAATTGAACAATATAGTCAACAGTTAATATTTTAGAAAAAAATACCGCTGTTTTCAAAACATAAAGTGCCATTATGAAAGGGGGTGAGGCAGTAAACTGAGGTGTGCCGTTGTTGAGGAGAGGCGTGTCTGGTTTTTTGGTGACGATAAGTGACGACAAAAAGGGTTAGGTAAAAATCGTTTTTAAATGAAGAGGGACGTCTCAATGAATGACCCATTATGCCAGTATTAAAATCCTTCTGAATCTTTATTAAGCAGCTCACAACTTTGACGTTTATGCCAAAGTTTTGCAAACTGAGAAGCGCGGATTACGTCCAAAGGGTGCGTGAAACGTACGTTTCATAGACACGTTCAATCTTTATAAATAAAAAGTACAACAATAATTAAGTAATTTATTACAACAAATACCAAGTTTGGCGCAGATTTATGTGATCTGAGGAATATATCGGCTATATTATATTGTAGACCAATAAGGTTGTATTAATAACTGAGAGGGTTTCGGTGAAAAATAAATAAATGGGATGAGAACTTGTTAGGCGCCTAGTTATTTGGCTTTTAATTGTAACAATTGTAAAATGTTTTTATGCGTATCTTTGGTTAATGACAAATTAGAGCCTTAACTTTACACGTTTAAATTGTGATTAGTGAAATTGGCTTTGTTTAATACTTAACTATTAACTATTATCCAATAGAAAATACGTTGGCAAAAAAAAAAAAAAAAAAAACACCGCATAAAATGTTCAATGTTTTTTTTCCTCGAAAATAATATTCTTATAAATTAAATTTAATAAATCTGTTCCAGGAAATTATATCCACCTGAGCGTGGAGCCCAGTGCATCCACAGGTATGACGGTGACGTGCAGGCTGGATGCGATCCCTACCCAAGGCACGGACGTCGAGAGCGTTGTTTCCATGGTGATCAAAAGGGTTCAGATGCCTCAGCGTGAGATGTAGGTGGCCATGTTTAACATAGTGGGCGTGTACACAGAGAGGGGTTTTACCATAGGGGTCGTGTACACAGAGAGAGAGGTTTTACCAAAGGGATCGTGTACACAGAGAGAGGGGTTTTACCATAGAGGTCGTGTACACAGAGAGAGGGGTTTTACCATAGGGGTCGTGTACACAAAGAGAGGGGTTTTAACATAGGGGTCGTGTACACAGAGGGGTTTACCATAGGGAGAGTGTACACAGAGAGAGGGGTTTTACCATAGGGGTCGTGTACACAGAGAGAGGGGTTTTACCATAGGGGCGTGTACACAGAGAGAGGTTTTATCATAGGGGTCGTGTACAC